GAGAAAGTGAAGGGAAGAAGAAAGAGAGGGGGAGAAACATCAGTGTATGGTTGCCTCTCACCACTCCCCTTACTGGGGACCTGGCCTGCAACCCAGGCATGTGCCTGCACTAGGAATGGAATCTGCAACCCTTTGTTAAGCAGGTTGACACTCAGTCCACTAAGCCACACCAGCCAGGGTAGATCCTGAGCATTTTAAGAGCTCTCATTGAAATAGGGAGAAGTGCTCCAGCTGGTGTGGATCACTGGATTGGGTGCAAGCCTGAGAAGCTAGCTGTCACTGGTTCAATTCCTAGTCAGGGCATATACCTGGGTTGCAGGCCTGGTTCCTGACTGGTGCGCTGGAGGCAATCATATGTTAATGTTTCTTTCCCTTACCAAAGATGAATCATAACTTTTTTAATAAAAGGGGAGAAGGATTTGTTTAGATCAGGATGCTGTTCAATGGACAATAAGCATGTAGTACAATTTTCCCGTATTTGCAACTTGGCTGGAGTGTCAGATCATTTCTAAGACCATTGTATCAGTTGCATGGTCCTGGAAATACTGTTTTTATTTTTTTTGAAAAGTGATTTTTAAATAATATCTGGTAAGTTTCTAGACTTTTTCAATTTCTCTCTTATGTTACTTAGTTTTAATGTATTTCAAGTCTTATGTTTTAGTGTGATTTGCTCTAAATTTTTAAATAACGGGCTTCTTACAGAATTATTGATTTTTGATATTATTACATATATGCCCTTATTTTGATTAATTCAAACATTTTATGTGCTTTTTAAGTTTCTGAGAAATACATATGTTGAGTATGAATATGTACTTAATTTATACTTAATATAATTTACAAATATGTTCTTTATTGTATTAATGCAAGAAACATGTGACTTCTTAAATATGTCTGGAGAGCACAAAATATATTTCCTTATGATAATTACAATGGCATTTAGAAATTAAAATAATGCGAATAGCAGTCAGAATTCAATTCTCCCACTTTGTCATAAATTTGTTTCTTAATTGATGTGTATAACTAAACAATTTACTTCCATTTGTTCATATCTTATATCATAGTTCTTTTTTATATTAAACGTTTATCTTACTTTCTTGTGTTATCTCTGTATATACGTGATGCTGTAAGGAGGTCATTTCTCTGATAAAATTTTCCAGACCCTGTGATGCAGGAGACCCTCCTTTTATTACGGTGACTGGCTGTGTGGAGTTGCAGCGATAATGCCTGTTCATCATTGTGCACGCGAGACCCGTCACCAGAAACAAATTTTTTATTATTTTCGAGATCTCCTTTGGACCAGGACGTGTTAGGTCTCAGTAGCTTTCCGGGTGAGTCTGGGTCTTTTCTCTCGGAACCAGGTGGGAAACCCCTTTTCACAGCCCTGGACCCCGGAAACCGCCGTACCCAGAAGGCTGGTCAGGCCCGAGCCAATGACGGCTCAGAAAAGGCTTTTCCCTTGGGCTCAACGCGTGTGGGCGGGACTTCCTCCTCCTGCTGGCGGGCATTTCACCCTCTTTGAATCGCTGGTTAGAGGAAGATGATGGCCGGGCCGCACGGGCGATGCGGTGACAAGGAATTGGAGAGACCTGGTCGCTGCATCAGAAACGCGACTGTGAGGCTCCGTGACTCCGCCCGGGTGACCCGCTCCTGGTCCGGGATGGGGCCCGGGGGGCCCAGCGCCCCCTCCTCGCTCTCCTTCCCGGCCCCGTTCCGCCCAGGGTCCTCCGGGGAGGGCTGCGCTGAGGCGCCCGCCCGTCTGAGGTGAGTACGCGGCCCCGGGCCCTCCCCCTGCGGCCCGGGTGCGGGGTGCCGGTCACGTCCCGCAGCCCAGACCCCGGTCTCTGGGACCGTGAGGCGCTCGTGGGTGACACACGATGTAGTGGAGGTGGGAGAGGGCGATAGGCTGCGGGGCAGCCGTGTGAACGTGCCCAGGTGCTGCTGACCCGGAAAGACCCCCAAACCTCGCCTCGGCCCTCCATCTGCTTCAGTCTGCGGCGGAGTCACGACCTGACTGGGAGGCAGGGGGGCCCCACCTCCATTGTAGTGGTTCTGGGAGCCCTGATGGCCGTGAATCCAGAGAGACACAGTTTGTGTCCTGGTTTTGAAAGCCTTTTAGGATCCTGCTGAGATAGAAAACCGGCGGGGGTGGGGTGACGAGGACCGAGAGGCACAGGAAGAGGAGCCCTAGTTCAAGGCCGCTGGGCCGGTGAGCGGCAGCTCTGAGGAGCCGCTTGCGCGGAGGTCACCAGACTCCGGGGCCGGGGCGGGATACAGCTGAGACCTTCTTACCTGGAGCTGTGAGGTAGTTGATGGCGTTCCCACAGGTTCTGAAGTTGAAAATAATTTTGTGAACCAGACAAGGAAAGACGGGGTGTCCCGGTCCTACCATGGTAGTGACACTACGTTAAAGTGTCTGAAGACTCTTCGCTGGTTTTTTCCCCTGCTCTTGGGTGTTCGAACCCTAGGGATACCACAATCCTGAGTGCAGGTCACAGGAAATATCCAGGTGCTGCCATTTCTGGTGTCCATTAAAATTTTAAATCTTTAGAGAATTGTTTTTAACTTTTATTATCTATTTCCCATTACCATTTAGTTCCCTTATACCCCTTAGAGACTTTTTTAAGTATTTATTTTAGTCAAACTGACAATGAAACAAAATCTCAACAGTGAGAAAAATGCTTCGGAAAGTGGCGTTTTTACCACTTCTTTTATACATCAGAAAGAAAAGAGAAGACGTAAGTGGGGAACTTGACCTCCATTAGTGATAGGTTAGAGAGGCAGGGGTATACAAAGAAGGAAACTCTCTGATATTAGATAAAAAGTAAAAATGTCTATTTACATTGGTGTGTATAAGACAGTTAATATTTAATTAACGGTAATAACACTGAAGGGTTTTTTGGTCTCTTTTTTTGGTGAAGTTTTGTGTTTTGAGGGGTAAGAAAAAAGGAAATTATCCTGATATTCCAAAGGTATGTTAACATAGGTGCAAATATAAAAAGATAAGCTCAGTTAAGGTAAAAATTGACCTACCCCAGGAAAGATACTGACTACTTACCATGACTGTGACTCTCTTTTAGTGAGAAAGTTTTAATTTCAGACCATATATAGAGGTATTTTCAATCTCTCAGTTTGTAACTCCTCTAAGCTGGTCAGGTTTAGTTTGTGCCCTCCTTTTTTCTTTTTTCTTTCAGTCCACGCAGGCAGCCAGTGTAAGCAGTTAAGGCAGGATGTCCAGGAACGGACACCTGCACCTGCAAATGCTTGGAGATGCCAAGTGCTGGGAATAGGTACTCAGGTCTCCTTTGTGTAAAAAACAAGGAGCAAGGGGGTTAAGAATTAGACTTGTAAACTGGCCAAATTAGAATTAGGGTATCCATTATGGAGATATTGGGACATTTGCATAAGAGAAAGGAGTTGGTCTCTCCTGGATTTAGTAGGCTCCTTGTGGGTGCATACTGGAAGTACATTTTATGGGGGTTAATGGAGGAGGCAGGGAGCGCTGATTTAGGCAAGTTCTGTGATCCAGAGAGGAGTTGATGGACCCAAAGGAGAGCTAATTAACCAGATATTGGCCTCAGATGTAGGAGAAAAGGTTGGATTCTTGGTCCTTTTTTTTTTTTATTGTATTTTTTTCTCCATTACCCTTTATCGCCCTCATACCCTCTTCCCCCTCAATCCACACCCTCCCCCTTCCATTTTTTAAGAAGGGCAAGTATAGTTTCAGATTTCGCAGTTGCAGGAAGAAAGGAAGTGGTTCAAAACCACCCAAGCGTTTTTGATCCTAGCAGCTGAAGCAGTGGAGGCTCCATCAGCTGGGCTGGGGAGGATGGTGGTAGGTTAATTTTCTTTGAGTATATCAGAAGACTGTTTTGGTTCACACTTTATAAGTTACAAAGAACAGTGAATGGAAACATCTAGTGTGCAGCTGAACATATGGGTCTGGGAGTCTGTGGAAGGGACAGGGTAGGAGTCATTCAAAACTGGTGGCTCTTTTCTGGTGAGGACTAAGTTGGTAGAGCTGGTGGGGAACCCCGTCCTATGAAGTCCTGCGGTTGGCCACGGATGAAATAACAAGTCGTTCCAGACATCTTTGCCTGTCAAGGGGCTGGTGATTTCCTCTAGTGGTGAATGCCCCAAGCCCTTCCCTGAAATGGCTTTTATTGACAATGATGTGCAGGGGTATACAGCATACGTACAAAACGTATCAGTCCTCATCAGAGACCATAGAGAGCAATACAAGGAATACATAGATCAGTCAGTCTTGGGTTAGGGTCTGTTAGACATACTAACATCACATGATCATTAAGCTAAGGTTCTGGGGCTCAGGAATCCTTCTCCTACTTTGAGACTAAACACTTGGTTTTTCCTTACCAAGGCAGTGCAAAGCAGAGCAAGCTTCAGTGAATATAATGCACTCTTTAGGCTAGATTTCCCATGGGAACCCTCAGTGCTTTATCTGTCTGGTTGAGACTTAAAGCCACTTTCAAGCTCTGGCTCACATGGGGCTACAGTTCCTGATACCACACAAAGTGGTCCCCAACAAGACCTGAGGGTGTGAACCTGGGAGTGAAGATGTGAAGGAGATGGAGATGATCACACAGTGGTGCGTACAGCTAGCGGTAGTGTGAGCTCATGGCCCTGGGTACCTGGTGTTGGGACTTAAGGATAAAGCATAACCCATGTTTGGCTGTGTCTTGGAGGTATGATCTGGGAGACTCAGTGGAATTGCTTGTTGGTAGGATGTGGCCCTACAGGCATGACCCTAAGTTTAGATGGCATTTATCTGCCCCACTTCTATTATCCTGCCTGTATTTTTTTAGGGCAATGTGAGTGATTAATGCAACTTCGATGAGACAGTAGTCATCCATGGCACCAGGGGCTGGTGTCTTTCCCCAACTAAGGTCCCTGCAGAGGGTTGAGCATGGGTAAGAGTAGGATTGTGAGGTCTCAGACACACTTTTTCAGATTTATTCTGTTAATTCTGACAGGTAGTTGTGATCATTGAGGATGTTGCCGTGTACTTCTCCAGGACAGAGTGGCACCTCCTTGGTGAGGCTCAGAGATGCCTGTACCTCGATGCGATGCTGGAGAACTGTACTCTTATATCATCACTGGGTAAGACACTCACTCTCCCAGTTCGCTCTTCTTTGGCTTGCCTTCGACCCCCTTTCTTCAAGGTTGCAATTTGGTTCTATTCTTAGGGTCCTGACCAAACTTATACCCAGGGAGGAATGGAAAGCAGCAGCTGGTCTTTGGCATGTTACAGGAAACTCAGTTCTTTCCAACACAGTAAAGAATTGCAGATTAGCAAAAGTCTACTAGCATGTAAGCAGAATTTATTAATGATACCTTTCCTTGGAAGAGAATGGGTCTTCCCAAGTTGGAGTTGGGGGTGAAAGGCATAGGTTCAGGACAGTTCGAGGCAAGGGCGGCAAAAATCATCAGGTCTTTGTCCTTAGGACTTACGTAGTTGGTGGGTTGGAGGTGAAGGAGTTATATATTGATTGATGGGTAGAGGTGGTACCAGCTTTCCCTGGGGGGACGTGACTACCCAAAAGTCGGTATGTGATCAGGGGTTGTTAGCCTGAATTCTTGTCTTGATCTAGACCTTATTTGGTGATCTTGTTATAAAACAAATACATGCAAGGAGACACTTCGTTAAAGTTGATGTGGTTACCCAAAGTTATTTATGGGCTCTTTCTGTAAGCACTAGGGACTCCCTCATAAAACAGATAGTGACCAGAGACAGGAAATTAACCAAAGTTGTTTTATGAACCTTCTTTGGGCACTGTGAACCCCCTCCCACCTTCCAGGCCTTGGGATGAAAGCAGTTTCAAAGGCCTTCTTTGCAAGATAGTGGAAATAGTACATAGAATTTCAAGGACTGCCCCCGTCCCATCCTAGCATGGTGTTTTTTGTGATATTTGGAACACCTGGCAGTATTATTCGACCAGGCTTAGGACTGCTAAGATACCTGGTGAGACATACCTCCCTCCTCCTCCTTCCTGCCTTTACTATCTATTCTGCCTGACAGGCCCACCTTTAATACTGTTTCCAGGGGCCCTTCTTTTTGCTTCATTGCCCCTAACTTAAATAAACTAACTCACATTTTCAAAAGACAATAAAAACCCTCTCGTCCCTGTGCCCTCTGTCCTCATATGTGGACTGTGGGCACTACTTGCTTCCCCAGTGTTTTAGGTAAATACTGGGCTTGGCAGGGCTGGTTTGCTTTGCTGCCCCCTTCTCTTTCTGCAGTCCCAATGCCTTCTGTACCGAACCCTCATAGGGAAGGATTCGAGGTCAGTAGTGTTGCCAGACGCCTAATGGATTTCTCATTGGTTAATGAAGAAATGCATTTTTTATATTTCTTTTGATCATTTCTACAACTATATATTTTTCTATCCTCACTGGAAAGTATTTTTATTAATTGTTAGAAGAATGAAGGGAGAAGCAGAAACATCAATGTGAAAAAAAAGCATGGATAAGTTTGCCTCCCTAAATGCCTTTTGAAAGGGGGTTCAAATGCGCAATCTATTTGTGCATGGACCAGTGCTCTAACTCAGCCATTGGACCAATGCTGGATAAAATACTATGCATGTAATATTAGTTCTGTTTTCTCAATAGTGTTTTCAAACTTCCATAATTCCTTATTGATTTCAGACGGGATGATCTACCCATTGTCGAAAGGGTGATACTTAAGTTGTCTGTAGTGTTGCATTGCATTTTCTGCCTTCAGATCTCTTGCTGTCTTAATGTACTTAGGTGCTCTGTGGTTGGGTGCATAGTAATTACAATTGTTATCCTCCTGATCTCTTTGGTGTTATTTACATGGGATATTTTTTTACATCTCTGTATTTTCAGTGTTTTTGTGTCCATAAATATTTAGTGAGCCTCTTAGAAGCAGCATATAATGTGTTTTAGGGGGAATTTTTCTTTTTCTTTTTCTTTTCTTTTTTTTTTTTTTTTTTTTGAATACAAGGAAAGCCAGCCAGGCCTCAATTAATTAATTAATTTATTTCTATAAAATTTTTTATTTTTAATATAGTTAACATACATTATTATATTAGTTTCATGATTAGACATTGCATTACTTACTAAGTGATCATCTCAATAATCTTACACCCATCCTAATGTGTCTTGCTGAAGTCCTGTTGGCATTGAATCTGTACAGGGACCTGGGAGGATCTTGAACATGGCTATTCCCACTTCTTTTTCATATTTTGAAGTCAATATGTAGCTCATTTAAAAAAAATACTATGTTTCTCCTTCCCCTTCCATTTTTCTATCTCTCATTTTCTCTCTTTTTCCCCTCCTCTGGGACTCCCATTATGGAAATATAAGTTATCTCTACGGTGATCCAAAATTCACACAGGCTCTTTACATTTTTTGTTACATGAATGTTTTTAAATCACCTGTCTTTGAGGTAATGTACTCATTTCAGTCCTTGTCTGCTTAAGAAACTCTTTTGCATTTTTCATTTTAATCATTGTATTCTTCAACTCCCAAACTTATGTTGTTACATTCTTTCTTACGATTTTTGTCTCTCTGAATCCCATGTTTTTGTTCCCATATTTGTTTGTTCATTATGTTGAGTTCCATGTGTATTCGCTTGTACCACACTGAAGTTTTTAGAAATGATTATTTAAATTATTTTTTGTCAATTTATATGTCTCTGTACTTTGGCTTAATTCACTTTCACATTGTGAAGTTCCTTTTGTGATTTTTTTCTTACTTCCTTTTGTATTAGTGTCTATGTCTAATACTTGATGAAGCAGTTACTTTTTGGGACTTCAGGAACCAATTCTGCTTAGAGCAGTAGTTGATGTGCATATGCATACAAGGGTGCTTGCCAGGTGGTGTGTTTGTTTTGGGCTGATGGGAAGCTTCACTTCCCATTCTTCTTGCTGCCCTATAAGATAGGTCAGTGTAGTGAAGATTGAAGGGGCCCTCAGTGGCCAGGGCTCTGGTTTTCCAAGTATTTAACGATCTCTTTTGGAGTGTTTGGTGGCACAAAGCAGACCACTAGAGTCAATGATAGCACAAGCACAGTGTCTCAGAGAAGTACTTAACCCTTGTGTTTTGAATCTTACCATTTTTGCTAAGCCATTCTTTCGTGCTATTCCTTTGTGTAGCTCTTTTTATTAATCCTGCACTTTGTAGTTCCTTGGATTAACTGATCTCTTAAGCCTCTCCCTGCTTTCTGAAGGGATCTGTTTATTATGGGTAATTATCTAATAATTCTTGAAGTGGCTTGAATATTTGTATTTTTTCTTTTGCCATCTTGCTGTCGTCACTCACAGAGATCGTTTTCTTTTGGTTTTTTGGTGCAGAGCCATTCTGCGACACTGTTGGTTATTCATCTCTTCCACTTTCTCTTTGGAGTTGCATCATCAGTATTCCACATAATTGTTCAGTGAAGAGGGGCGGGGGGCGAGTCCATTCTGTATCACAATAGGGACAGAGTTCAGCCATGACAGATTGGGCTCACAGGGGGTCTGGCACTGGGGTAGAATTTGATTCCAAGGCTTTGTTAAAGCATAATGAGGAACCTGTTCTCTTTAACAGTATTTTGTCACCATTGCCAGTGGCCACACCTTAATCTACTTATCCTTTCCTAGTGTTGGCACATTGCCAGTTTGTTACTGTTAATAGTTTTTATTTCTACTCTTACTTCCTGCCAAGGATAATCTCTGCCTGTCTAACCTCTACACCACAAATATCTCTGAGGAGTCTTTTTGGTGTGCTTTCCCATTTTGAGTAATGCCTGTTGCACCTTGAAGTGTGTGTATTTCCATACAAACCTAGCATAGCATCTGCTCTGCTTTGGTTCATTTTCATAATTTTGCACACATTCACATCATCTACACAACCTTATATCACAGAAACAACTAGTATACCCAGCCTCTCTTACTTGTGTCCATCATGTCCTAGTGTCCTTCAATTAATGAGGTAGCCAGTATTACTTACCTGAGGGGCTGCTTCACTCTCTATCTCATTTGTCTTGGAAATCATCACATAAATCATGTCAGATGTTACAGATGCAAATTTGTGATGAGAAAACCCTCTCCCTGTAGTTCAGTATATACTTCACTAGCATTTGTTTTTCTTCAGGTTGCTGCTGTGGACCAGAGGATGTGGTGGCACCCACTGAACAGAATATCTCTATAAGAGTCCCGAAGGCTAAGAATCGTATGTTAGCACCATCTTTCCAGAACAGCCACCCCTGTGAGATTTGTGGGCCTGCCTTCAAAAACAGTTTCCTCTTCGTTGACCAGCAGGAAACACAACAGAGGCTGACAGTGCTAAGCTGTGAGGCATGTGCAAAACCATTTTATTTCAGTGCACAGTCACTAGCACCAGGAGCAGGACACAACACAGAATTTTTTCATCAGCAGTGTGGACAGGGTCTCATTTGCAAAGAGCTGCCATTTCCATGTGTCATGGAATCCTTGTACCTCCAGTCAGGTTGGAAAACGCTTCCTCTTCAGCTTCAGGCATTGTGAGCAACTGGCTGCTCACACCATGTACAAGGGAAACAAAATCTCTAAGTCTGTAATGACTTTTCAAAGAACAAAATATTACACTGCAAGAGAATGCAAAAAGCCATTGGCTGTGATGAGTCACTTGTTGAGGACCAGGGATTCCTTACAGGAAGACAATATTTATTTCTTGTGAATGTGGAAAATCTTTTTCCAGTGGCTTGTCCCTCCATTATCATCTGAGAGTTCACACTGGAGAAAGGCTTTAAAAGTGTAGTGAATGCAAAAATCTTTTACTGATAGCTATGACCTTTGTAAACATTGCAGAGTTCACACTGGATAAAGGCCTTATTTGTGCACTGAATGTGGGAAGTCTTTTATGAGAAAAGATCATTTTAATTCTCATCAGAGACTTCACACTGGAGAAAGGCTTTATGAGTGTAGAGACTGTGGGCATTCTTACCTATTCCTCTACTGTATGTATTCATCAGAAAGTTCATACAGGAGAAAGGCCTTTGAGTGCAGTGAATGTGGAGAATCTTTTACCCGTAGCTCTGCCCTCCATTTTCATCATAGAGTTCACACTAGAGGAGGACCTTATGAGTACGATGAGTGTAGGAAATCTTACGCCTGGAT